ATAGTCCAATACGGCCGTACTGAACTCCAGGGAGGGCGTATTGAGCTCCATTCCTCACACATTCTTATTTTAAGCTACTCTAAGATTCCTAGACCTACAGAGAATCATCCTAGGGTCTTCCAGGAGTCCTTCTGGCTGACTTTCCTTCAGTCTTTGAGAGTCTTCGAGCTTTATTTCCAACCCGGACAATTTTAGAGGTCTACAGTAACATGTAAGGGCAGCACCTCCACCCTGTCTCCCTCCCCTAGCAGCATTAGCAAGTTGCCTAATGACAGGACCCCCTTGCTATTGTTGGGGCCTATCATAGGACTTCCTCTGATTTGCTCCCTTTTTGGACCCAGCTGGTCCCTCAACAGCTTTAGTCACACGGTTACCACCTTCTAATGTCTCCACAACCTTCACCTTCTCCACTAAGGCCGGAAACTCGGTGATGGCCATAGGAACCACCACCCTCTTTAGCTCATGTTTTAGTCCCTCAGCAAACTTCTTGCATTTCCAGGCCTTAGATATAGCTTACGAATAGAAACGAGCCAGGTGCTCAAATCTCAGCGCATACTTAGAAACTGTCATCCCTCCCTGGGAAACCGCATGAACTCGGCCTCCTTGGCATGCCTCATGCTCTCCGGGAAGTACTTCCCCAGGAACACCCTCCTGAAGCACTCCCAATCTACAGCAATACCTCTAGCAGTAAGCATGTGTGAGTACCCTCCACCAAAGCTCGGCCTCTCCAATAAGCATATAAACAGTGTATGTCAGCCTCCTCTCCTGAGAACATCCCAGCACAGTGAAGATCTTCTAGAGTTCACAGATACAGTGGTCAGCTACCTCCGAATCTGCATCTCCCTTAAATTGTGAAGGATGGCATTTCCAGAACTCAGCTAGATCTCGACTCTCCTATGAACCCGTGGGCCTTGCTACGCCAGCTGCAGCTCTATTAGCCTCCGCCTTAGCAAAATAAGCATTTTGCTGTTGCATAGCCATAGCCATATCTCCATCGCACGGGCTATCTGTTCGTTTTTTCTAGTCATTGTCTACAAAAGTAACAATAATGCTATTATACACCGTGTTATCATTCAAATTTTCCCTCCCTTCTCCGATTTGTCCTTCACCCTTCTCTTCCGTTTGACCCTCCTCTTCCACCATTGCTTGTACTGACTCAGCCACATGGGACACTTTCTCGTAGCCATCCGTTGAACACTCTGATCCAGATGATTGCAACCATAGCCCTACTTCACTCAACATGGATGGCACCTCTGAATCGGTGAAGTTATTCCGTAAGAACCAGCAGTTGCACCCCGTCCGTTTGCTAACCACCTCCTCTACCAGTCTTATTTGCCTTCTCTCCCCATTAATCTTTACCAATTTATGGGAATTAATGAACCGGGCCGATCCTGTCCTGATTAGGACCCTTGCAGAGTTTACCTCATTCAGTTCAAGTGTATCTCTATGTATACCCACCAATGTTCCTAGTTCACCTACTACCTGGCCAAGACATTCCTCGTATTTTTTTCTTTTTAATTCTACAGACTTTTCTTAGTGTACAAATTGTTACAAAGTGTAACGAAAAAGCCTTTAGTGTAAAACAGCCTGTGTCATTAGAAAAGTACTTGAGTAAGTGTGAAACAGAAGTACTTTAATATGCAGTTCATGTGCTATTTAGTGACATTACATATATATGACCAGTATATATACGAAATAATTTAATTACACAAACATTTAATCATTTAAAAATGATTTGAGTATAAATCCATTACTTATGTTAGCACAATAACTGTTAGCACAATAACTGTTATAATCACGAAGAATGATGAGATGATATTACATTTTTTTTTAAATCCATTACTTATTTAAAGAAAAAATAAATCAAATCACAAGTATAAATTTATGTTAGCACAATAACTGTTATAAGTATTTAATATTGAATGTCTATTATTACTATTTATATTTTATTTTACTATTAAAATATTTGTAAAAGTAATTTATGTCTATAAATTGATTATTTCTTTTCTTTTCTTGTCTTTATTTCTTTACATTAAAAAAAAAAGCTATATCATTGTAGGAAAGAAACTTCTCAATCTCTCCCTTATATCTATCTTTTCAATCTTTTGATTATATATTACTGTTTTTAGTTTTATCTTGATTTTCGTAACAATAAGCACAAAAAAAACAAAAGTATAATTTTAAATCTAATATTTTGAAACTTCCTATTGCTTTGTCATTTAGCTATACTATCTGCAGCTATATATATCTTGTATTGCCTCAATCTTTCATACCTCACAATTAAGAGATAAAACTGATTCCATTTATTTCACATGAGCAAAAAAATAATGAGTAGTTGTTTTGTGAAACTATTTTATGCACTTGTGCTGCTTTTATCGAATGCTGCAGGATCTATTCTTAGTGCAGAAATAAAGTGCATAGAGAGTGAGAAACAAACACTCCTCAACTTCAAACAAAGTCTCTCCAATGATCATGGCATGTTGTCTACATGGAGGGACGGAAACAACAATACAGATTGTTGTGAATGGAGAGACATACAATGCCACAATGAAACTGGTCACATACAGTTACTCGATCTCCATGGTGATTATCGGAATGCAGGTTCACAATATTTGGAAGGTTCAATCAATCTCACTTCATTGATTGACTTGCATAATATTCAACATCTCGATCTCAGTAATAATTTTCTTCTAGGGAGTTACATCCCAGAAGAACTCATTGGCTCCTTCACCAACTTAACATATCTCAATCTCTCATACGCTCTCTTTGGAGGGGGCATTCCATTTGAACTTGGACACCTTACACATTTACAGTATTTGGATCTAAGTAACAATTTTTATCTCTATGGGGAACTCCCTTATCAACTTGGAAACCTTACATATTTACAGTATTTGGATCTAAGCAATAATGATCTCAATGGAGAAATCCCTTATCAACTTGGAAATATCTCACAGTTGAGGTATCTTGATCTTTCAGGAAATTCATTTTCTGGAGCACTCCCTTTTCAAGTTGGGAATCTTCCTTTTTTATACACTCTTGGACTTGCTGGAAATTTTGATGTGAAATCTAAGGATGCTGAATGGTTCTCTAATCTCTATTCCCTAACAATTCTTCGCTTGGATTCTTTTCATAATCTTGGCTCCTTCCATCATTGGTTACAAATGATCAACAAGCTTTTTCCAAACTTAAGAGAGTTGAGGCTGGTTGATTGTTCTCTTTTAGATACTGATCTTCAATCTCTGTTTTATTCAGGTTCCAACTTTTCCTCTTCTCTTGCCATCCTTGATCTTTCTTCTAATATGCTGACATCCTCATCATTTCAACTGTTGTTAAACATTAGCCTTAATCTTCAGGAGCTTTATCTTTCACATAATAACATTGTTTTCTCATCTTCTTTCTTTCCAAACTTTCCTTCTCTTGTGGTCCTCGATCTTTCTTATAATAATATGACATCATCGGTCTTTCAAGATGGTTTCAACTTCGGCTCAAAACTTCAAAATCTTTATTTGCAAAATTGTAGTCTTATGGATAGAAGTTTCCTTATGTCATCTACTTCCGTTGTGAATTCTTCATCTTCCCTTGTCTCCCTTAATCTATATTCCAATTTGTTGAAATCATCAACTATATTCTACTGGCTCTTTAACTCCACCACCAATCTTCGTTCCCTTTACCTCGATAATAACATGTTAGAAGGTCCCATCCCTGATGGATTTGGGAAAGTGATGAACTCTCTTGAAACTCTTTACCTCTCTGGTAATAAATTGCAAGGCAAGATTCCGTCTTTCTTTGGGAACATGTGCAGATTACAGATATTAGACCTCTCTAATAACAAGTTGAATGGCGAAATTTCTAGCTTCATTGAAAGTTCTTCATGGTGCAACCAACACATATTTCAAGGTTTGTCTTTATCTTATAACCAGGTTACTGGCGTGCTGCCTAAAAGCATCGGATTGCTATCTGAATTGAAGTATCTTGATTTGGAGGGAAATTATTTGGAGGGTGAAGTCAATGAATCTCATCTTTCTAATTTTTCCAAATTAGAATACTTAGGCTTATCAGGGAACTCATTGTCTCTGAAAGTTGTTCCTAGTTGGGTTCCCCCTTTCCAATTAAAATACTTGGAACTAAGATCTTGCAAGTTGGGTCCAAGTTTTCCAAGTTGGCTCCAGACTCAACGCTCCTTAACCTCTCTGGATATTTCTGATAACGCGATTAATGATTCGGTACCAGAATGGTTTTGGGGGAAATTGCAAACCATGCAAACGTTGAATATGTCACATAACAATCTCACAGGTGAAATTCCAAATTCATCACTGAAGCTTCTTAATAGACCATCAATATTTCTGGATTCAAATCAAATTGGGAGCAAAGTTCACTACTAGAATTTTTTCTATTACCTAAGGATTTGCTATCAGCACTTCAACCAGCTCAGCATATCACCACATTCAGCAACAACAACACCGACATAGCGACTATAACAGCACCATAATAGTGGCTAATAATAGCACTGACATAGCGACTATAACAACACCATAATAGTGGCTAATAATAGCACCGGCATAGCAGTTATAACAACACCACAATAGTGGCTAATAACAGCACCGACATAGCGGCTATAACAACATCGTAATAGTGGCTAATAACAGCACCGACATAGCGGCTATAA